ACCCCCCCTGCCCCCCCCCCGCCCTTCCCTTCCCCATCTCAGGTTCGGGGTATCAAGAAGTCCAAGGGCTCCTAGAGGAGGACTCGGCCCGGCCGCCCCGCCCCCTCGCTGCGCCCGTGTATCCGTCCCCCGCTCCCCGCTCGCAGAGGGTCGCGCGGTTTGTCGTGTGTCTCGGGAGCTATCCAAATTTACGTACCATTGCAAGGTACGCACACAAAGGGAGAAGCGAGTGCTCCGCACGTGTAGCGCGCGGCGGATTTCTTCCTTTTTCGAATGCGCGACGCCCCCGCCACCACTCCTCGCGCGTCGACGTCGCAGCGTCTTCGCACGCCCGGCAGCAACCCATTCCTCGCGTTCTGCGAGGCCAACGTCTCGCGGCTGCAGCGCCGCTGGCGCGACCGACGGCAGTGCAGCGCCGGCCACGGCCACGCCCCCACCGCGACGGCGCCAGCGGCCGCGGCCGCCTCGAAATTTCTGCCGCCGCCGCCCTCGTCGCCGCCGCCCTCGCCCCTGCAGGAACGCAGCCTGGCGCTCGAAAACGCCATGGCCTCTGGCCGCATATCGCTCGGAGGCGGCCGCCGCCGTAGCTCCGTCGCAGGCCGGCCAAAGAAGCCGCCGCCGCCGCCGCCGCCGCCGCCGCCGCCGCCGCCGCCGCTGCCCGCACCGCCATCGTGCCCGGCCAAGCCGCTTCTCGAGGCAGCTCCGCCGCCACCCGAGGAGCCGCCGCCGCCACCCGAGCCGCCGCCGCCAGAGGAGGAACCGCCGCTGCCAGAGGAGCCGCCGCTGCCCGAGGGGCCGCCGCCGCCCGAGGGGCCGCCGCCGCCGATGGAGCCGCGCCTCCTGGCAGAGGCCGAGCAGCTCCTCTTCTCTCCACCGTGCTCGCCGCCATTCTCGCCCGCCGTGACGGCACCGCCGCCGTCCTCGCCGGCCTGGCGCTGGCTGGGGTGGCTGCAGTCTCCCTTCACCTCCTCGGCGGGCGAGCAAGGCGGCTCCTGGAGCTACAGCTGCACCGTGGTGGGACACGGAGTCGCGTGTGAGCAAGCACGGGGCAGGTAGCGGGTGCGTGGTGGATGGTGGGCCACGGCGGCGGCACATGGGGGTGACAGCGAGAGACACACAGCACGCACTCCACACAGTCACACAGGGCGGACACTGATCAGTGCCGTGCCATCCTAGCGCCGTGTCCCGTGTGCCCCGTGAGGCTGGGAGATAGGCTGAGAGGGCGACAGCGCGTGAGAGCTCGACCTCGAGAGCGTTTCCGTTTGTCCGGTTTTTGGAGAGGACAGCCCGTGTCTCGGACAGGCGACAGCGCCACACAGGTCTCAGGTGTGAGGTGAAAGCTGAAACGTGAGTGTCGAGTGAGGTGTGAGCGGAGAGCCGCCGCGCGCGCCCGCGGGCTGTGTGAGCCCGGAGGCACTGTGAATCGCCTTTCCTAAAGCTCGCACAGACATTCTAGCTATCGCGTATCGCGTAATGGGACCACAAAACCAGCAGGGCGCACACGACGCGCCCGGAAGGCGTCTCGCAAAACATGCCTTTCCCTCGCCGTCCACCGTCCGTGCACATATCCACGGGCCCCGTACAGCAGGGCACGCTGGCTCAGCAGGCAGCGCAGGATAGCAGCGCGGCGGGGCGGGCGGCACAGCGGTGGTGGCGGCACAGCGGCGGCGGCGACGCATCGGGGGCCTCGTTTAGCGGTACAGTCCGTTGTTGATGTTGTCGATGATGTACTCGGGCTTGGGCTCGAGGAAGATGAAGCGGGTCTCGTACTTCTTCACCGCCGCCGACTCGGCCGCGGTGAACTTGCACTTGGAGTACATCTCGCCCGCATTCTTGTACGGCGCGTTGGAGACCAGTTTTCCAGCCGCGTTGGGGTACATACCCGGCAGCTTGATGTAGACGCGGATGTTGGCGTTGTTCACGTCGATCGTGGACGAGCCACCAAGGAAGCCAACGCCGGCGTAGTCAACCTCAGCGTTCGCGGCAGCAGCCGACAGCAGCGCGGCGGAGCCAAGCACCTTGCTGAAGATCTCGCGGCGCGCGATGGGCTCCGACATCCTGGGCGGGGCGGCAGGGGCGCCTTAGGCTGCTGCCGGCACGGAGGGCCCCCTTCCTGTCTCCATCTGCGCGGTTTGCGGCGCAGGGGTGCGCAGGGGCCGGAACGCACGTCGGCGCAGCAGCACGGGTCAGCGGCGCGGGGCGCAGCGCGGTCGGCGCGAGCGCCTACAGGCAGCGGCGACGGCCGCGTTAGGCGCGCCGGCCCGGCTCACCGCCGCGCGCTCCGCTCTCACCAGCGTTGTGGTCAGGAATGAAAGCGACATTTCCCTGCGAGATAGCTGCCAGGTGTTTTTCTTTTACAATAACCACAAAATCTATTTCATTACTACTCACTCTTCCACTCCTTCCTCTCCAACACCAAACACACACACACACACACACACACACACACACACACACACACCAACACAACACAACACTCAACACAACACAAACAACAGGGCTCCAGGCCCCAAATTACGTGTGAGTGTTAGAGTTGTTTGGTATTGCTAAAAATCTCCAACACAACACACACACACACACACACACAAACAACAAAAAAAAACGCACACACACACACACACACACACACACACACACACACACACACACACACACACAAACACACAACACAACACCACACCACACCACACCACACCACACAACACAACACAACACACACCAACACACACACACACACAATAACAAACACACACAAAATAAAATAAACTGTTAGGCCCCAAATTAACCGCGTAAGGGCTAAGGCAACCCTAGCTACAGAGAAGTACACCCGCTCTCTCATTTGCACGTCACAGCACAGTCACACCGCATGTGTGACACGGCATGCGGCCCGACGGCTCCAACTGCGCCAAATCAAGAGACGGACACAAGCAAGCCAGCCGCGGGAAAGCCCGCCACTCCCGCTGCTCACTCCCGCGGCCGCCCAAAGCCGCGGCCGCCCGAGGCCCCGCCGCCGCCGCCGCCGCCGCCGCCGCCGCCGCCCTCTCGCACGCCGCCGCTCCCGCCCGCCGCGCCGGCCTCGCCGCCCGCAGCGTCCTCAGCCGGGTCGGCTCCCCGCTGCGGCTGCTGCGCGTTGCCCGCCGCGACGGCCGGCGCGCCCCCCTGCGCGCGCATCCGCTCCAGCACCGGCTCGGGCACCAGCACGTACCCGTCCTCGTCGAGGGCGAGGGAGCCGAGCCCGGCCGTCAGGCTGCGGGTGCCGTTGCACCAGCGCTGGTAGTCGGACTCGAGCAGCGCGGCGAAGCGCGGCAGGATCGCGTTCCCCACCGCGCGCATCACCACGCCGATGGCTCCCTGCACCAGCGGCCGCGGCGCCCGCGCAAACGGCGCGGGCAGCCGCACGGAGAGGCGGACGGCGGTGCGGCAGGACAGGTCGGTGGCGTTGGCCCACGCGGCGCCTCGCCTCCTCGAGGCCGCCCACTGCAGCGTCGTGTTGAAGTCGAGCTTGAAGACGCCCTTGAGCGCCTCCTGCGCCGTCGCGAGCTGCGCCGCCGTCACGTCCGGCGGCAGCTCGGCCGCGTCTCCAAAGAGCGAGGCGCCGACCGACTCGAGCGCGATGCTGCCGTTGGAAGGGCGCACGCGGACCCGCAGCTTTGGCTTTGGCATGAAGGTCCCGGCCTTGGGGCGGACGCTGGGCAGGCTCAGCTCAAACACCTCGCCGTCGCCGCCCTCCTCCACAGGCAGCCGCCGCATGAGCCTGCTGTCGTAGATTGCGTACTGGTCGACGGGCAGCGCCATGTAGTCGGACACGGTGCCGCCGGCGACCGCGGAGATCGTCCGGACGTGCCGAATCTTGGCGGACGAAATGAACTCCTTGGTCACAGGCACCTCGCCAGGCTTGGCATCGGCGATGGCCGCCATTCCCATCTTGCCGAGCATTTCGGCCGCCTTGGCCACCGCTCCGCCGCCGCCGCTCGCCTGCAGGACCACAGGAGCGCCGACACGCGGAGAGGCGCCCACCGCCGGGCGGAGCGGCGCTCGAACCTCCAGCCAAGCGAGCGGGGCGGCCAGCAGCCCGATCACCATAGCCATAGAGCACCGCGGAGCCTGGAGCGGCGTGGACAGGCCGGCCAGGCGGCCTGGCGGCGCTGGAGCAGCGAGGGGGGCGTGGGGATTAAAAGAATTTTCGCGGGAAAGAAAAAATTGTGCGACCATTTTTCTTTTTAATCCCCAAGCTCTCATTCCTGGCGACCACCGCGCTGGGGTGCGGCCGGGCGGAGGAGCGCCGGCGGTGTGCCGGGCCGGCGTGCCTAACGCCGCGCCGTCGCCGCTGCCTGTAGGTTCTCGCGCCGACCGCGCTGCGCCCTCGACGCCCCGCGCCTAGCTGGCGCGGGACGGCGCCACGGCGCTCGGCGAGAGGCGCTCCCGTAGCATCGTCTTGCCCAGCTCGCGCCGCACATCCGCCGCGCCAGAGCCGTCGGCAGGGCTAGCGACCCACGCGACCTCCGCCATCCCTCGCCGGAGCGGCGCGGGGAGCTGCCGCAGTGCGGCCCGCCCCTCCGGCGCGCACGCGAGCGAGTAGAGGGCGCGCGCCGCCGCGCGCCTCGCCTCGGCCACTCGCGACGGAGGCGAGCCCGCGGAGGTGGCTGCGCCGGCGGGTGGCGGGACGGCGGCGCGCAGCAGGGCCGAGGCGAGGTGGGGGACGGCGCCGGCGCGGCAGAGCGGCGCGCGGCATGCCGGCCACGAGGCGAGGTTGGCGACGAGCGTGCCGAGCGCGAGCGCCTCCTCCTCCGCCGCCTCCTCCTCCGCCTCCTCCGCCGCCTCCTCCGCCGCCTCGCCGCCTTTTGGCTCGACGTCGCCAAGCGCCGCCTCGAGACGCTGCAGCAGTCCCTGCGCGTCGGCTCCGCCGGCTAGCACCGCTTCCGCCGCCGCTCCCTCGCAGGCGAGGTTGGCGAGCGCCTTCAGCGGCGCCGCCCTGCCCCGCGCAGCCGCCCTGCCCCGCGCAGCAGCCGCCGGGGCGAGGCTAGCGCGCAGCAGCGGCGGCACGAGGCCCTCCCGCACCAAGCAGCGCGCCATCGCCGGTGACTCGCGGGCGGCGCGCGCCACAGCCAGGAAGGCGTCGTCCTCCTCGCCGTCGCAAACTGCCACCCGCCGCGCAAGCGAGAGGCAGCGGGCGGCGAGAGGCTCGACCGGCGCGGCCTTCGGCGGCGGCGCGCCGTGCAGCAGATTGCGGTTTAGCGCGCCGAGTGGCGCACGCGCAAGGCTCGCGCCTCCGGCACGCTTCGCGACGCCGTCGACCGAGATGGGAAGCGTGCGGCCCTTGCCGAGCCTCACGAGGATGGTGTGTCCCTTGCCGAGCACTCCGGTGGCCTCCGGAACCCAGCGGACGGTGAGTGCACCCTCGGAGCGAGCCGGAACACGCACTCGGTCCTCGACGACGGCGAGGGCCCCAGTTCGGCGCGACGTCACCGCGGAGACGACCACCGCCGCCTCGGTCGGGTTCGCAACGCGAACAGTCCTCTCGGCAACCGCGCCGACGTAGACGGAGCCGAAGCTGAGCACGCATGGCGCCGAGAAGGGCGCGACGCTGAGCACGGCCTCCATTATAGACGTCGACGGGTCAGGATGTGTCGTCGGCGGGGCGGGGCGGCGGGGCGGCAGCGAGCGGTCAGAGAGCGGAGGGTGCCTTCGAATGGGTTTTTTTTCTTTTTTCTTCTTTCTTTTCTTCCGATCGTCTCGCTCTAACCACTCGCTCCTTCCCTGCAGCTTCCATCCACCAACCAGCGCACCAGGCAGGCGCTGCAGCGGCTCCCCTCCACCCACAGCACCACGCACGGCAGGCGCTCCCCCGAAAGAGTCGAATTCGCAGCAGAGGGAAAAGAAAGAAACGCACGACGTTTCTCATGTAAAAGCTGGAAAACGGAAACGGCAAACTTGTTGCCGGCCCGGGCGCCGCCCCGAGCAGCGAGTGTGCGCTCCCGCGGCGCGTCCGTGTCTCCGGATTGGGGTCGCCCACTGTGCGCGGATGCACTTGCTCGGGCTGCTCTCGCAGGCCCCGGGCGCGCACGCCGAGTGCCTCCCCGCCTCCAGCTTTTGCGCCCCGCCACGGGTCGTGGGCACACGCCGCACCGCCCCGGCAAGAAAGCTCTCCTCGCACACTCCCCAGCATGACCCCGCCGGCGAGGCTGCGACCGAGCTGCTGGTGATGGCGGGGATTGCGGTGGCCATCATCCTCCTCATCCTCACGCGAGCTCACCGACGCTGTGGCCGGCGGCTGGGCGGCGATCCAGAGTTTGCCCTTTCTGGCGGGAGTCCTGTGGCGCCGTACCTCTCGCCGGCAAAACGGCCGAAACGGAGGAAGCGGAAGTCGGAGGACGTGCGTCCAAAGGAGGTGCGCGGGGCAAGGGTCACCGCCGCCGCCGCAAAGGCCACGGCGCCGGCTTCCGTCGCGCGGGCAAGCGCAGGCGAGGCCGACGCCACCGCGCCCCAGAACGTGCCTCCGCAGGAGCCGTCGACGCCGCAGCCTTCGCTGACGCGGCCCGTGCTGACTCAGCTGCCCCAGCTTCGCCCCACGGCAACCGAGTCTAGCGCCTCGCCCGCCTCCGACCGCGACTCGTCGACGCACGAGTGGCCGATTGACCCCTCCACCGCTCACCGGCCGCCGTCGGAGGACGGCCTGACCTCGACGGTGGACCAGCCAGTTTCCAAGGAGGGCATGACATCGTTCACGTCCGAGCCGTCAGCGGAGTCCCCACCACGCAGCACCGAACCCTCCTTCGCCGCGACGTACGAGGCCAAGTGCGAGGCCGCAGCCGCCTCGCCCTCGGCGGCCGCCATTCCGAAGACCCGGCGGCGACGCCGCCAATCACGCACGTCACTCAGCACGGAGCAGCAGGGACAGGCTCCGCCTAGCAAGGTGCAGAGTGTCTCTTCGGGGCCAGCCGAGCAGCCCCACCAGCCCTCGCCGAAGGACGACCTGACGTTGGCCGCCCCTTCGAGCGGGCCTCGCCGGGAGGGGAAGACGAAGAGAGAGGGAGGTGAGGGCTGCTCGGACGACGGTGGCAGCCCCAGTGGCGCAGGCCCGAGCAACAGCAGCAGCCACAGCCGCGAGCTGGCGATCACCGGCACGACTAGCGAGCACGACGCGTTCTCGCGCACAGCGCCCGCCGAGGCCATCCACGCTCCCACTGACAGCTCGCCCTCGGCGGCGACCTACGAGCCACAGGCGGAGGCGCGCCGGGCTGGGCTTGGCAGTTCACCGCTTAGCGAGGGCGTCGAGGCGCCGCAGCGCCTTCTCCGGCCTCCACCTCTCGCGTTGCGTCGACAAAGCTCTTTGGGCTGCCAGGGGCAGGGAGGGATGCCGCCACTACCGCCTCCGCTCACCATCGTCGCCGCAAGCCCCGCCCTCCTGGGAGAAGTTGTGCCAATCTCGCCGCCGCCGGCACAAGAGAGCGGGCAGCAGTCCGGCCCTACGACCTCGCCTGACAGCGTGCAGTCGTCGCTCTCAATCTCGGCACAGTCGGCGCTCGTCATCAACGCGTTGCGAGGGCGAACCTCGCCGCGATTCGCCTCCTGCCCGCCCGGGCTAGCGCCGACGCCCCCCTCCACGCCGACCGCGGCTCTCCCCCCGGGCATCCTCGCCCTCGCCTCGGGCCATGTGCGATCGGCCCCTCCCTCGCCGTTTGCGCCACGCATTGCGACCATCGGCCGGCCCACCAATGCCACTCCGACTTGCTACTCGCCGCCGCTCAAGGCGCGAACGCCGCGCCTTCTTCTAACGCCCCCTCACGCGCGATCGGCGCCGTGGGCTAAGCCTGCCGTCGCTGCTACGGAGGGCGCGGCTCCGGACGGCCGCCGAGCCGGCTCGCGGTCGGGATCGCAGCCAGGGACGCCGCGCACGCCGCGCACGCCGCGCGTGATGACCTTTCCCAAGAAGAAGAAGAATCGCGCCGCACAGGCAAAGCGACTGCGGCAGGAGTTGCAGCCGTTGCTTCAGCTGCTGGCGCCATCCCCTGGGAGCTAGAGAGTCGGCCACCGCAGGGAGGGCGCGGTGCGACTTGCTCGAACAGAGGGAGCTAGCTCGCAGGATCTCGGGCGCTGAGTCCTGCGAGCCCGTTGATTGCGCCAAGCGAGCCGGGCCCGCCGCCCTCTCCACCGGACTGTGCTCTCCACCGGACCATTGCAAGCCTATATTGTAGTGTATTCGGAACTGCCCCTCGCTGCTCCGCCCCGCACGGTTGCGGCGGTCCTCGCGCCTGGTGTGGCCAGCTGAAGTCGTCGTGTGTTCTCCGTCGGTCCGTCGTCCATGGGGTTTTGTATTTGTATATCGTATATGTCGGATTAGACAGACACGTTCCCACCTAAAAGAAAGAAAACGGACAACCCAAGGGAGGGATGGGAGGACGGCACGCCACCACCACACAGGGATTTTAAGGAGAGAGGGGTGTGGTGCCAGTGTGGTGCGCTAGCCGTCGCGCGTCGCCCACCCTTGGGCGTCCGCCTCTTCCTATCTCTCTTCGCAGTCTCTCGCCGACTCTCGCTGCAACCTTCATGCCACCCCGCGGTCGTCCCACTCTCGTCGTGCTCTCCCTTGTCGCTTCTTCCTCTGTCGCGTCGCTCTCCTCTGCCTCGTTCTGCGCCGCCGCCGCCGCCTGCCGGTCCCTTGTTCTCGCTGCTTCTTGCGCCTTTCGGCGCAGCTCTGCCCTCCTCGCGGCATATTTTGGCCCCTCGAGTCTATCGAGCTCTCCTCGAGCAAGGACGAGTCTTCTGACGCCCACTGCTATCATTTGCCGCCCAGTCATAAAGAAAGAAAGAAAACAGACACCTCAAGGGAGGGGGATGGGAGGACGGTCATAAATAAATAAATAAATAGAGCAGACATCTCCAGGAGAGATGGGCGACGCACGAACACAGAGGGACGGTCATAAATAAATAAATAGAGCAGTCATCTCAGGGACGGTCATATGTGTTTTCAGAATTCTTTTTTCGTGAGCGTGAGGGGCGGTGAGAGGGCGGTGAGAGGGCCCGTGAGCGTGCGAATGTTACGTTGCTCTACGCTGATTGGCCTGCGACCCGGCCCATCACGCTTGCGGTCCCTGGTGCCCGTGGCGCGGCTCCTTTGCACGCCGGCCAGTCCTTCCAAGTCGCCTCCCGGTGGTGGTCGAGGCGAAACCAGGAGCAGAGGTGGCGGCGGTGGCGGCGGGGGCGGTGGTGGCGGCGGGGGCGGCGCGCGCGTGCTGTGTGAGATGCCGGCGCTCTCGAGCCGTCGCGAGCGCGTGCGCAAAGAGGGCCTCATCGCGCTGACGGCCGACTACGTGCGGCAGCGGAGCGAGAAGCTCGCCGTGGAGACGCAGTTCCGAGTCCAAAACTACACCGTGCCGCTTCACCGGCCGGCCGAGTTCTCGCTCTCCGCCGTGTACGGCTTCGGTCGGCAGCGCGCCAAGCGCCTCGCTGCAGAGGTCGGGCTGCACGGCGCCTACCCGCTCAACCGGATGCGGGAGTCTCAGCGCTCGTACATTCGCCGCGCCCTCGCCGCCGCGTGCGTCAACTACGACGACCCGGCGCAGGCGGCGGGTGCTGCGCTTCAGAAGGAGGTGTCTCTCAACATCAAGCGGCTCAAGGAGATCCGGTGCTACCGCGGTATCCGGCACGAACTGCGGCTCCCCTCGCGCGGCCAGCGAACAAAGGGAAACGCCCGCACTCGCCGCCGAATGGGGCCGCTCAACTAGCGCTTTGGCCGTGGGCGTGGTAGCTGTTTTTGGCCAGGGTGGAGAGAGCAACTTAGGGGGGACATCACATGTCGCTGTCCGCTACTTGTGCTCTCTTGTGCTCTCTTGTGCGCATCAACACGCTCGCACTACTTGTGCTCTCTTGTGCGCATCAACACGCTCGCAGCGCGACGTGTGCGAGCTCTTGGAGGTTTGAGGTTGAGCCTTGAGCGCGCTCTGTACATGTCGTCGGACTAGTGTTGCCCAAATGGTCATGGAGAGAACAGAAATAATATAATGCTCGCCGGGGGGTGCGCCGTGCGCCTCTCACTCACCAAACCGCAAACGACGGGGGGGAGCCGTGCTTCTGTATATGAGCTATGATAGTCTCTCGCCATTGGCATTGCGCCGCTCGTCTGTGTGGTCTGGCCCACCTCTGGCAGTACCAGTAGATTACCACCGCGGGCGAGTACCTAGGTATAGAGGGTGCGGAGATGGCAGATGCTGAGTTGACGGAAATCGGGGGGGGGACGCGAACCCACCTCGCCACAGACGGTCCCGCGCCTCGCCGCTATGACGTCCGCACGACCGCAGCTCGTGTGCGTGCGGCCGTCTTTGTCCGGAGTTGCAGTTGGCGATGGTATCTCATGAATACTTGATTTTTCACGCCGTGTAACAATCGTGTTCAAACGGCCCTCCTGTGAGCTGGTACACCAAGAATGACTTACCACTGACAGGGGCCACACTGTGGCAAGCTGTGATGAGCGTGGTTTGGCTTGTGCAGCCCATACGGACGTGGTGTATATACACATATGCGGCCACGTGTCGGGCGGTTCGGGGCAAAAATTCCGGATTTTTCCACGGCGTAACAATCGTTGCTGTAGTGGCGCCAATGGCCGCCTCCCGTCGCGCCATTGGCACCCTAGCCAGCAGTAGCACCGGAGGCAACACCACCAAGCCCACAAGTCACAAGAGTGACGGAGATGCTTGCCACGAGCACCGTGACGCCCGACCCTGTGAGCACCGTGGGGCGGCGTATACGGCTGCATACGGTGAGATGATGCACAGCATGGCCAGACGAGGGATGCAAGGCTCGCCAGCTGTATGTTAGTGAGGTATATGGATGTGATCAACATGTGTGCGTCACAGGTACGCGCAGCAGCGCATGTAGCCGCTGAGATCGAAGACAGCGCAAACAGGTCTTTTTGCGCCACGCACCCGATGACCGTGCTGGTCCAACTGCGTGCACAGGAATGGTATCAGCGCGTCTCCGCCATAGCTGGACATGGCAATGAAGCAGCTGAGACGTGATAACACCGGTGCAGGGCCAAGGAGGTGCCGCCCACCGCCGATTGTTACGACTGTCGTCGAAGGCGAGCGGCGGTCGCCGGGCAGCAGCTCGTGGCGATCGTCGATCCGCGAGCTGCCAAGCTTGTCACAGGCCGGCACTGGATCGAGGACGATGGCGCCGCGCGGCTGGAGGCAACGGAGAAAGGCATTGTGGAGCGGCGAGGCGATTGTTACGAATTTCGAGGCGCGGAAAAATCCGATCGCCTGGAAAAATCAATCAGTAACCAGCCTCCGGCGGGGCCCCCCGCTACCATCCAAACCCGAGTACCGGTCTACTATCATAGGTAGAGGCTCAAGTGTGACATATAAGTCCACACCCATACACATGCACAAAGCAACTCTCACGGCACACGGGCACCGGGTGGAGCGGTGGCGGCGGCGGCAGCAGCACGCGCGGGCGGACGGATTCGGACGGGGCGGAGCAGCGACTGCCTGGGCGGCCGCTGCTCTGTCTGCCAGAGCGCGCCGTCTGCCTGCGCAGCTCGAGCGCGGTCAGGTGCGAGGACGCGTGGCGGCGCGGGGAAACGCGGCGGCGGTGGCGGCGGCGGCGGCGGCGGCAGCGGCACGCGCGGGCGGACGGATTCGGACGGGGCGGAGCAGCGACCGCCTGGGCGGCCGCTGCTCTGTCTGCCAGAGCGCGCCGTCTGTGCGCAGCTCGAGCGCGGTCAGGTGCACAGGGAAGCGTGGCGGCGCGGGGACGCGCGGCGGCGGTGGCGAGCAGGCGAGCGGCCCGCGCGCGGCGAGGCGGACAGGTGATCGGCAGGCGGGTGATGGGCCGCAGAGTGACCGCGCCCAGCGATCGGAGGCGAGCCGATCGTCGCTCGGCCGCAGCTGACCTCGAAGGCGTGCGGAGCGCGACTGTCGGTGTCGGAGGGCGGCCGTCATGTGGCGAGGAGGGAGGACGACAAGTGCGCGTCGTACGGGTCGCTCTTCATCGGCCAGTCGAGCGGACGGTAGCGTCGGTCAAAGCAAAGAGGGCCGGTGAGGCCGGCGAGATTCGTTGCGAGATACGGTTCGCGCCCAAACAAGTTTGGAAGCTCGGGGGACGCGCCGCAAAATCAAGCCCATGGAAAGGGGGCTTCTGGGGCGGCCAATTCACACCTCGCGGGACTACTTATGTTTTCGTAAACGTAGTTGTGGCCCCCCGCTACGTCGCACGAGTGCAACCGGGTAGCGGGGGGCTAGTATTCGTGAGACATCTTAGCTCACAGAAGCGTGCCGCTCAAAAATCGATCTCACAGATGGCACAGCCTACTGTGCGGCTGCCACAGCTGTCACAGCGATGGGCTCGCCCTCACTGGGTTGTGAACATAGGTGTTGTGTGCCGCTCTCGCAGGGCCCCGGGGCGAGCGGGGTCGCACTCACAGGGTCTCACCTCTCTCAGAGCCGGCTCTGAAAGACACACACACGAGAGAGAGTACGTATGTACAGGACCTGTGTAATTAATTTTAAGTGTGCGAGAGGACTCAAAACACCTTTTGGTGGACCTTTGGGAAGGGGCGAGAGTGGGAGACTTTTCGGCGAAATGCGGCGGCGAGGGATGCGTCCTACGTGTGGGGCGACCTTGCGCTTTCGGCTTTGGGACGTCGAGACCTGTGTCGCCCGAAACCCCTAGTCTACCGGGTAGCGGAAATTTTTCACAATATCGCAACCGCGATACCGCGCGATATTTGGCGATAAAATGCGATAAACGGCGATGTTGTGCGATGCTCGCGATCACGCGAGCCCTTTCATAGCACGTCACAGCGACGGCGTGAAGCGTTACAAGGGACGTGCGCCGTGGAGCACATCATCCTGGCGCTTCGCTCGCTCCGCTCGCGTTGCGCAGCTGGATCTGGCTGGCTACACACGCGGCTCGCACATGAGCGTCAGCTTGTTCTGCAGCACGTTCGCCGCCTTCCAGAGGATCGTGCCGACCCCCTTCCCGAACCCACCGAACCACGTCCACGACTCGAACAGCAGCAGCTGCACGGCGACGTCCTTGTCCTCCCTGGCGTAGCGATACTCGCCGCCATAGGACGGTATGCGGCGGTCGCCGCCTACCACCCTTCCCCCCCTAGTATGCCAGCGACCCGTCCCCTGCCCCCTCTCGCCCTTGGCCTTGCTATTCCTCTCCCCCTCCATGCCCTCTCGAGCCTCGTGTAAAAAAAGAAACCGATTACGTCACGTATGATCAAGACACCCGCACACCTGGGTGTTTCCGCGAAAATTAAGAAACCACGGCGCGCCGCAGGCGCGCCGCGCCGGCTGCGCCGCCAGCTTTAGATGGTCTCCTCCGAAAACTTATTGAAAACAAAGAAATCCGGCCGCGGTCCGCCGCCGGGGCGAGGGGGTGCGCGAGGGTGCGCGAGGGTGCGCGATATTGCGCGATATATTGCGCAATATTGCGCAATATTGCGCGATATTAGCAGGCGATATCAGGCCTTAGGCGATATTAGGCGATCATTCACGATACACCGAAAATTCTCTCGCCAGAGGACTAGGGTTTTCGACAAGTAAGCTTCTCTGAAAGTGGGGCACTTCAGAGGCAGCGCTGACGTCGGTCGGTCAGTGCGCGTCGCCAGTACCTCCCTTCTCTCTCGTCGAACCCACCACCGTCCCCTTTCTCCTCCTATCTGTCTAGTGTGTGCCTGCTGGGGGAGCAGACGGCTTCGTTACGAAGCTGCCCCCAGCAGGCGTCTTGACGGGTATCAAAATTCTTCCCTACAAAAGAGGCCAACGCGCCCGACCCCGAGAAAGGGGGCCGTGTCTCTGTGAAAAAACAGTCTCTGTGCAGTCCACACACACCACACGCGCGGGTCGCGGCGGCCTTTTTCGTACGGCGTGTACTACAGACCTTGTACACAAGCTGCCACGCCCGTCTGACCGCGCCTCACACACAAAACACTTTGCACACACACGTGCCGAGCAGAGGCAGCGCTCCTTCACCCCAGGCCTGCTCTCCGGGCGGCGGCAGCCACCTCCGACACAAATCGGTCGCCCCGCTGCGTGTAGAGCGGTTTGCCAGACACACCCGTCACGTCGAGCGTGGCGCCCGCCGCCCGCATTTTATCGATGACTGACTCGCGCCTGCAGCACGCGCCGCAGAGGAGGTAGAGCGGCGCCTCGTGCTTTGAACGCCGTGCCGCAAAGTCGCCAGGCGCGTCGAGGCATGCAGGGCACGCGCGGGAGACGTAGAGCGCGCGCCAGCGCAGCGCATCTCCGCCGCCGGTGGCCGAGGCGGCGGCGAGGCGGCGGCTGCGCGGCTGCTTCCACGCGTGCTTCTCGCACAACAAGCGCAAGGCGTCGTCGCAAGTGCGCGCCCAGCGGCAGTCCACGGCGCAAGCAGCGTAGGCAGTCACTCCGCGAGGTAGAAAGGACAGGATGTGCTCGAACAGCGCGTCAGGCAGGTCTTGCAACCGCATTGGCCGGCTGTCTGCTATCGCACCGCTCCTCGCTGCTCCGCTGTCTACAACCTCTCAAAGACCAG